TTTTTTCATTAATACCTTTCAGGTGAACGACAAACGCTGAACGACAAGAACACAATCGACCCGGGAAACTTGGACAAAAGCCTCGATCATGTGTATCAATTCATAAATCCATGAATCCATGAGCCATTATGTGAGAGATGCGTTTAGCTCCATGTATGGATGGCACAACCAATAGTTCGTCTGATACGTGACGCTGTTTGGCTTATTTAGCTGCCTTTCCAGCCAGAAAAACGCTTTAGTGGAATAAGGTTTTTCTAATGGTTAAACCGATCAACCACACTGTGTGCTGCTTCTTAGGTCCCTTCAGGAGTCCGCCCGCTGTGGGATACATGGATCCATAATGGCAGAACTCAGGTTTCTCGGGCAGACCAACATATAGTCTAGAGTTTTCGACAGGCCAAACCCTGGTCCTTCGCTAGACAACTGCTGGCGTTTTCAACATAGTTCCAGCATAATCCAGCAGTTCATTCCATTCAGAATGATTGATCAATTTTTGACCGACCTATTTGGCGTAGGCTAGCGATACCTCCTCCCGCTTGCCACCTCCTCAGGCTTGTTGAGTTTGTCGACCTGAAAGACTAAAATGGTAACAGGGAGACAACCTTTTTGGTTTGAGAGTGGCCACAAAGACTTATTAGAGTTGTTGGTAGGCTCGGATGCAGCCTAGAGAACGGACCACTTTTAGCATTTTCTTGGATAAAGCCTGAGGCGGCTATTCGTTCCAGGGTTTCCGATCCTTGGTAATCCACCATGTTTTTGAGAGATACTCCAGGATATCGGCTGCTTGCACCAAAATAGTCGAGTTGGTTGAGGGACACACGATGAGCTCCGTAGGCTGTCTTCTGTCCCGTAATCAAAGCTAAAAAGTTTTATGTGGTGTTCTTACGGCAATCTAGATCTGAGTATATCTTTTACCCGCTCAGTCGGTGGGGAATTCCCACCACGCAACCTTGCATCTGAGGCCGATGGCTAAATGGTCTGCCGCAACCGCGAAACTCCGGTCAGCAAGTTCTAACAACTTATAAACGGTTGCGTTGCTTGAAGTTTGCAAGAATGG